ATACATGCATGCATGCATGCATGCATGCATGCATGCATGCATACATACATACATACATACATACATACATACATACATACATACATACATACATATATGTACGTATACGTGTATATAAATATAAATATATATATATATATATATATATATATGTGTGCGTGTGTATTCAAAACTGGCCAAAACATCGTCCCCCGACTATTTCTTGACTAGTTTTGAATATTCCCCCTGTGGAGGGACAGACCCGACTTAATACTAGGACCACACGCGCTACGCGCGCGCCTAGGTTCTAGTCAACTCTGAAAACCTCATCGTCATCCTTATTACTCTGTTCCCCATTCACCCTCACTGCGGACATATAGTCTGGGACGCCACGAACGCGGAAATGGGAACGTCGGCGTCGACGGCGTCGGCTGCGTCGGCATCGTCGGTGACGTCGTCGTCGTGGTCGCGTGAGGGGTGGAGGGAAGGAGGAAGAGAAGGAAAGGGGAGGGGGGAGGGAAGAAGGGAAGCAGGGATGGTTGGTTAAGCGGAGGTGTAAAGATTTCTCTTGCCTCCAAATTTTGTCTCCTCCTCCTCTCTCCTCTCTCCTCCTCCTCCTCTCCTCCTCCTCCTCCTCCTCCTCCTCCTCCTCTCCTCCTCCTCCTCCTCCTCGTCCTCCTCCTCCTCCTCCTCCTCCTCCCCGCCTCCTCCGCCTCCTCCGCCTCCTCCTCCTCCGCCTCCTCCGCCTCCTCCGCCTCCTCCGCCTCCTGCGCCTCCTCCGCCTCCTGCGCCTCCTCCTCCGCCTCCTCCACCACCTCGTTCCCGGAAGGCTCTCCGGGAACTCGAGGGTCGCGGCCGTGTAGAGGCCCTCGCAGATGCCTCCGTGAGGCCCGTGCAGGGTGTCGGGGCTCCTCTGGGTGGGGCTCCGTGGGCCGCGTGCAGCCCCCCGTGCTGCGAGGTCGAGGCTCTCTGTGTGGCGCCCTCTTGGGGCGCGTTTTGGGGAGGGCTCTCTCGCGGATGCCTCGTGGGCCGTCTCCGAGCGACGTGAAGCGGACGAGGCGACCGTGCGAAGAGCCATGCCAGGCTCCTGGAAAGTAAAGGTGCTCCCAACCCTCCTGTGTGTTGGGTGCTCGTTTTGAATAGAGAGCACCGAGGCATCGACTCCTTCTCCTCCCCCCCTCCTCCTCCTCCTGCCTCCTCCTGCGCGGCTCCCTGGGAGGCTGCGAACTGCGCACCTTTCGCCACTTTCGTGGGCTCCTGGAAGGCATGGCGGAGTCGGGGAGAACTCGGACCCAGACTAGACCTCGCAGCTTCCTGGGGGGCTGCGAACTGTGCAACTGTCGCCACTCTCGTGGGCTCCTGGGAGGCACGGCGGAGTCGGGGAGTAAACGGATCCAGACTAGACCTCGCAGCTCCCTGGGTGGCTGCGAACTGTAAAATTGCCGCCACTTTCGTGGGCTCCTGGGAGGCACGACGGAGTCGGGGAGTAAACGGATCCAGACTAGACCTCGCAGCTCCCTGGGGGGCTGCAAACTGGCAACTGTCCCCACTTTCGTGGGCTCCTGGGAGGCACGGCGGCGTCGGGGAGTAAACGGATCCAGGCTAGACCTCGCAGCTCCCTGGGGGGCTGCGAACTGGCAACTGTCGCCACTTTCGTGGGCTCCTGGGAGGCACGGCGGCGTCGGGGAGTAAACGGATCCAGACTAGATCTCACAGCTCCCTAGGGGGCGGCGAACTCTGCAACTGTCGCCACTCTCGTGGGCTCCTGGGAGGCACGGCGGAGCCGGAGAGTACTCGGATCCATGTGAGACCTCGCAGCTGCTGGGCGGGTGGGGGCCAGGCGCACCCAGCCGAGGCTTCGCAGCTCCCTGGGTGGCTGCGAACTGCGCAGCTGCCGCCGCTCTCGTGGGCTCACGGGAGGTCCAGCGGAGTCGTCGCTGCTCCCTGGTTGCGCAATCGTCATCACTTTCGTGGGCTACTCAAGATCGACCCAAGACGGCCCAAGAGGCCTCCAGGAGTGTCACACAACGACCCAAGAGGCCGCCAAGATCGCCCCAAGACGGCTCACGAGGCCTCCAAGAGTGCCCCAGAACGTCCCAAGAGGGCCCCAAGACAGCCAAGAGGCCTCCAAGACGGCCCAGAAGTCCCTCAAGACGGCTCCAAGAGGGGGCCCAGACGGGAGGCCCGAACGGACGTTTCGAGCCCTCGGCCCCGAGAGGCAACCGGGAGACCTCAAAAAGCCGCTAAGAAGCCCCAAGATGCCCCATGAGGCCCTAGGAAGCCCCAGAAGGCCCCCAGGAGGCTCCCAAGTGGCCCCCCAGGAGGCTCCAAAGAGGCCCCAAAACTGCTCCCCAAGAGACCCAAAAATCAGCCCTGAGGACTCTAACCTACAACCCTGGCACTGTGGCGGAATGGGTCGAAGGCGATACATACGTATGCAATTACAGTCATGTATATATATATATATATATATACATGCATACATGCATACAACCATACATGCATGCATGCATGCATGCATGCATGCATGCATGCATGCATGCATACATACACATATATATATAGATAGATAGATAGATAGATAGATAGATAGATAGATAGATAGATAGATAGATAGATAGATAGATAGATAGATAGATAGATAGATAGATATATAGATATATAGAAAGATAGATAGATAGATAGATAGATAGATAGATAAATAGATAGATATATACGTGCGTATGTACGTACGTGCGTACGTGCATACATGCATACCTACATACATACATACATACATATATACATACACACATACACACATACCTATATACATACATACATACATACCTACATACATACATACATACATACATACATACATACATACATACATGCATGCATACATACATACATGCATGCATGCATATATTCATACATACATGCATGCATGCATGCATGCATGCATGCATGCATGCATGCACACAAATAAACAAACATGCATGCATATATGCGTATACATATATAAAAATGTAAATATAACTGCATACATGCATGCAGGCATATATGCATACATGTGTATGTCAAATGCGTACATGCATACACACATACATATGGGCATACGTGCGTAGCTAAATGCATATATGTATGCATATATGTATACATACCTACATACATACATGCATGCATACATACATACATACATGCTTGCATACATGCATACATACATATAACGTACACGATACATGAAAATTGTATAATCCTACATACATAATTGAATGCAAACCAAACACAGCAAACCACACATCACCAACTTACTTCAACCATATAATGCTTCATTAAACAAACAACCAAACAAACGAATCCATAGATACATATATACACTCATACAGAAAAATAATAAATATATTTTTTTATCTATATGTAACATACTGTAATGTATATGGCAACCATATTTGTGCACGAATACTTCTGTATATGCACATATGTTTATATATACACACACACACACACACTGACCGTCGCCGTACTAATTAATGCAAGGTCCCGAATGGGCCCTCTTTGGGGTCTCTTGAAGCCGGTTTCGCACCGTCTTGGGGGCCTCCTGGGCCGTCTTGGGGCCCTCTGGGGCCGTCTTGGTCCCTCGGGGCAATCTTGGGTGCCTCTTGGGGCTGTTCTGGGACGGTCTGGGGGCTCAACTGGGCTGTCTTGGGGCCCTCTTAGGCCGTCTGCAGCCCCGCAGGGGCCCTCTTGGAGCGTCTTGGGGCCATCTTGGGCCTCTCTCGGGCAGTCCTGGGCTCAACCTGGGGCCCTCTTGAGCGCCTATTGGCCCATCTTGGACGGATCTCGGGGGCCTCTTGGGCCGTCTCGGGCGCCCTGGAAACCGACAAGCCGAGTATGCGACAAAACTTGCACCGAAACGAGGAGAACCGATACTTTGTGCCTCCCGGGGTCTCGTGGGAGTCGTGTTCGGGCCCCCGTTGAGCCATCTGGGGAGCCCGTTGGGCCGTCGTATGGCCATCTTGGGCCCATGGTGGCCGTCTGGGGGCGCTCGTCGGGCCACCGTGAGGCCACCTGAGGCCCTCCGGGGCGCTCGTCGGGCCGGCCGGGGCCGTCTGGGGCCCTCCTGGGGCGCTCCCGACACAGGCTCCCCGGCCGGGCACGGCGTTGTGCCAGGTCAGCTTTCTATGAATAAGGGAATCGAATTGACAGATCAGTACAGCCATATACAGACATCATATACACACATACACTTTTATATATATATATATATATATATATATATATATCCGCATATACTTGTATTATATATATGTGTGTATATACACGATACATACATTCCTACATACATACATACATACATACATACATACATACATACGTACATACATATATACATACATACATACATGCATACATACATACATACATACATACATACCTCCCTCCCTCCCTCCCTCCCTCCCTCCCTCCATACATACATACATACATACATGCATACATGCATGCATGCATGCATGCATGCATGCATGCATGCATACATACATACATACATACATACAAACATACATGCATACATACATACAAACATACATACATACACATACATGCATACATACATGCATGCATGCAGACATGCATGCATACATCAATACATACATACATACATACATACATACATGCATGCATGCATGCATGCATGCATACATACATACATACATACATACATGCATGCATGCATACATACGTACATACACACATACATACATGCATGCATGCATACATGCATACATTCATTCATACATACATACATACATACATGCATACATGCATGCATGCATGCCTACATACATACATACACATGTACATATAAATACATATAGTAAAATGTGCAGCATGTGTAACACGAGTTTGTGTATACCACATATGTATGTGCATACATACTCGGAAACATACATGCAAATACACACGCACCAAGCGCTGGCCCAAAACGCGCCAGCGGAGCCCTGGGGGTGTTGTCTACTGTCCCCCATCCCGGTGACCATGCTGTAGAACAGCACCAGCGCAGCGTTCACGGCCAGCACGACGGACAGCTGCAAGGAGCCCAAGATGAAGATGCCCAGAACCGTGGGACGTTTCTCGGGGTGGTCCGCGCTGACTGGATTCGCCTCGAGTGGTCTGAAGGATTTCGCTGCAGCCATATCTCAAGCTGCTATTCCCGAGAACTGCTGGGCGATGAGGCATACCGATGAGAGATGAAGGGGGGGAGAAGAAAAGAGGCGGAGAGGGAAAGAAGGAGAGAGGGAGAGATCCCTGGAAAACGGGAAGAATGTCATAATGCAGAGAGAGATAGGGCATTGGAGGGAGCAGCAAAGAGGGTAGAGGAGAGGGAAGCAGAGGAGAAGAGCGAGCTGATAGCGTTAACGAGAAATAAAAAAAAAAGAGAAGGGGAGACACGGCAGATGATAGAATGAGTGCTGAGACCTGAAGACAGCTAGAAAGAAGCAACGAGAGAAGAGTACAGAGGAGAGAAGATAAAAAGCTATCCATGACCGAAAAAAAAAGCTGAGCGAGAAATGATGTTTCACTAGTCGACGCGGAAATTCCGATATGTGCATCCAGGTCCCCACGCACGTCCCCCTGCGAACATTTGCGCGCAAGAGATTTCAAACATCAACGGGTCCGAAAAACGACGATATGGGAAAAGGCAAGTCTGGGTTTGAGTGAACCTGAGTATGAGTGAGACAATGGGCATGAGTTTGAATGAATGTGAGTAGTCTGAGTGTGAGCGTGAGCGTGAGAGGTCAGAGTCAATTTGAGCGTGTATAGTCTGAGTGTCAGTGTGGGTGTGAGAGGTCTGAATGGACTGAGTGTGAGTGTGCGCCATCGTCCTCCTAGCAATACCCTGTCCTCATTTTCGTCCTGGCAGGTCGTGGCACCAAAAAAATATAAACCGCCTGAGACGTCCCCACAATTTGGGCCTTCTGGGGGGGGCTGGAACCAACGCCCCGCGCTTGACATCGCCACTCTCTGCTCTGAACGCAAGCGAATCGGAGGTCCGCAACAAGCAAGCCGCCTGAGACATCCCCGAAATCTGGGCGCGAACGGGCCCGTAAAATACCCCCGGGCAGCTCCCCTTTGGGGCACTGCAACCAGCACCCCGTCTAAGGTATCCCCACAATCGGCTCTGAACGCAGACGAGTCTGGTGTCCGAAACAGGAGAGCCGCCTAAAACACCTCCGTAATCTGGGCGCGAACGGGCCAATGAAATACCCCGTGGCGGCAGCCCGCTTGGGCGCTGGAGCCAACCCCCCGCCTGAGGGGTCCTCACAATTGGCTCCGATTGCAAAACATGTTGAGCACCCAAACACGCAAACCACCTGAAACATCACCACAGTACGGGCACGCATCCTGGAGTGTCCCCACCCTGGCGGCTCCACCTCCGGGAATGCTGAAACCAGCGCATCGCCTGAGACATCCTCAGCCATTGCTCCGAAGTCAAGAGGTGTTGGGTACTCAAGCAGGCGAATCCCCCGAAACATCCCCACTGTCTGGGCGCGAATCCTGGAAGCCCCCACCCTTGGCGTCGTTCCCTCGGGACTGCTGAAACCAGCGCGTCGCTTAATGAAAATCCTCACAATCTGCTCCGAAAACAAAATATGGCGGGCACTCACACAGGCAAACCGCTTAAGCCATCCCCACCACCTGGGCGTGAATATTGGACTGTCCCCACCCTGGCGGTTCCCTCTCGGGGTGCCCACATGCCACGCGTGATTTATCGCGGCGAGTTATCTGCATCGGAAGGCGAAGGCTGCTGGGCACCCAATCACCATCTTCTATGAACACGCAAACCGCCTGACCCCAAAATCTGGACGCGAATTCTGCAATGTCCTCACCCACGGCGCACTTCCCCCCCCCCCCCCGCACCACGCGGGCGCGAATCCTTGGGCGCCCCCACCCCTGGTGGCTCCATTCGTTCCCCCCCCCCACGGGCTGCGGCCTGCCCCAACGCCCCCCCGCCGAAGAGAAAATCACGCTGCCGAGGAAGCCCCATACCTAATTAAAGGATACAGCGTTCGCTCATCATCATATGTGCGCAATCCTGCGTACCCTCGTCGCGAATGTTCCCCTATGTTGCCATCCATTACACCATCGCTTGAACCTCCTCCCTCTTCCCCGCCTTCTATCCTCCATCTGGGACAGAGGCGAGGCGGTCACCGAGGGCCGCTTCACGGGAAGGCAACAAGCGATGACGCAACGCGAAACGATCTGCCATATCGCGGTTAGTCAGGGAGGCAGTTGTGGAAGTTGGCGCAAGTCAAACCTCTTGCGGAATCGCTCAAGGAAACCTCTCGAGTGATCACTTCTCCCTCCGCTCACGCTGCATTCCCCCCGCACCCCTGCCTCCCTTTCTCACCTAGGCCAGCCTACACGCCATCTACTTGTTCGCACGCAGTGCCCACGTCCGCCCCCGCGTCTCTTCGAGAAAGAGTCTCTGAGCTGCGCGCGCAAATGACTTCCATTGCAAACATCATCCGCCCGCGCGCAATCTGCGAGCGCCCTTCGATGGAAAATCTCCGGGTTGCGGTCGCCAGAGATCAGGCGCTCCGAGATCGTCGAGGAGCGGCACGGGCCGCGCGGAGTGGACGCGGCTGGAAAGCGCTGCCGCGTCGGAAGGACTCCGGCGCCCGTGCCCTTCAGCGACCTCACGCCGCCGGCGAGATCGATTGGTTTTCCAGGGCCAGGGCCTCGATCACACGCGCCTCCACGGCCATGCGCTGACCGAAGTTCTGGGGGGCTTCGAACGAGGATGAAGGCGGGCCTTTCTGCGTGACCTCCCCTGGCGGCGGCCGATGAGAGAAAAAACATGTCACCCACGCAAGTGGCTCTGCTGAGCGCCGCGCACGAGCGCCGCCACCAGTTATCCGCTCTTTCCTCCGGTCCGCCAGCGCCGACGTCCCGCGCGCAGTCGACGGTCGCCCCGGCGCGGATCGCCTGGCCCTGTTACGCGGAGGACGTCAGGAAGCGCCCGTGCGCGAGCGCGTACCCGAAACGTTCGACCCGGTGAACAATGCTGGCGTTTTGCCGCTTGAAGTGCGCCTCCATGAGCGGGAAAAAGAACAGACCGTTCGCCTCCTCTATATCTGGATTCCGACAGAGTTGGCGAGCGTTTCCACCACGTCCGGGCTCTGCCTCTCGAACTTGCGCACCTGCATCCAGATCCCGGCAGGAGGCGGCAAGCCTGCATGGGCGTGGACTTCACGAGCGTAGCCTGCACGGTCGGAGCCCCCGCGGGCGCAGCGAACGCAGCGCATGGAGACTGCGGGCCAGCGCCCGCGCTACTGCTGGCATCAGCGATTCGCCGAAACTTCGCTAGCATCGGGCGGTCTTACGTCGCCACCTTCCCAGCCATATCCGAAAAAGCGACTCTGGGAAACACGCCGGAGGCAGGGTTTTGCAAGTACGTTACGAAGCAGTCCCTCCTGTCGTCGCCGTTCGCTCCTTCACTCAGCTCATCGTACCGGATAAGACGCGCATCAGGCCACCTATTTGTCAGCTGGCGGTGGTAGCCTTTAAATGCGCCTTTGGCCGGAGCGCCCCCTTGGTCGCCCATTCGGACCAGACATAGACTTGCCAGACTGATCTCGAAGCTGCTCTCAACCATAAATTTCTTCAGCTGCAAACACGGAGGCGGCAGCCCGGCGATAGCACACTTTAGAGGCATCCCGATGAACAGGAATCTGCACCGCACACGCGCAGAGACCCCAGCGGCGCGGCGCAGAAGCCAGAGCGCGTTGCGCGTTCAACTCGAGCCAAAATGTTTTACGGTCCTGCTGTGGAGAAGTGCCGCGCCTGCCGTGCCCTGCGCAATGGCCCGCATAGACGCCACGCTCTGGGACCACCCCCTGCGCACCTCTTCTGGCGTCGAGAAAATGCCACGCCTGCCGCGCCCTGCGCCATGGCCCGCATAAACGACGCACTCAGGGACCACCCCCTGCGCACCCCCTCTCGTGTCGAGGAAGAGCCACGCCTGCCGTGCCGTGCGGCATGGCACGCATAGACGCCTCGCTCGGGGACCACCATGCGCACCCCCTCTGGTGGCGAAAAATTGCGGCGCCTGCCGTGCCCTGCGCCATGGCCCGCATAGACGCCGCGATCAGGGACCACCCCCTGCGCACCCCCTCTCGCGTCAAAAAAGCTGCCGTGCCCTGTTCCATGGCCCGCATAGGCGCCGCGCTCAGGGACCACCCGCTGCGCACCCCCTCTGGTGTCGAGCAAATGCCACGCCTGCCGTGCCCTGCGCCATGGCCCGCGCCGTGCCCTGCGTCATGGCCCGCATAGACGCCTCAATCAGGGACCACCTCCTTCGCGCCCCCTCTGGCGTCGAGAGAATTGCCGCGCCTGCCGTGCTCTGCGCCATGGCCCGCATAGACGCCGCGCTCAGGGACCACCCGCTGCGCACACCCTCTGGTGTCGAGCAAATGCCACTCCTGCCGTGCCCTGCGCCATGGCCCGCATAGACGCCACGCTCAGGGACCACCCGCTGCGCACCCCCTCTGGTGTCGAGCAAATGCCACGCCTGCCGTGCCATGCGCCATGGCCCGCATAGACGCCACGTTCAGGGACCACCTCCTTCGCACCCCCTCTGGTGCCGAGAAAATGCCACGCCTGCTGTGCCTGGACGACCGTGCGCAGACGTTTTGGGTGTATGATGCAGCACGCCTGCCACGCCTGCCACGCCCTGCGAATATTGCGCGTATGTGTTGTTTGGTGTGCGTGTCGTGTGTATAATGCGTGGGCGCTTGTACGTGGGCGTGTGTCTCTCGTGTGGATGCCCAGCATGTGGTGCACACGCCGTGGGTGTATGACGCATGCAGTGAACACGCCAGGTGTGCACTATCATTGTATGGTGTTCGTGACTGCGAGTGTGTGGATGCGTGCGGCGGTATGTAGACGCGCGTCTCATGTACGTGCCGTGCATGTGTTGCGCGTGGGTGAGGGGAGGAAGGGAGCGGAGGAGGGGAGGAAAGAGGTGAGGTGAGCTTCGCGGGTGGGACGCGGGAAGGAAGAAAACCATCACCCCACGAAACATGTGGGGAAAAAACAAAGGATGTTGGGCAACCAAACACACAAAGCGCCTGAGACGTCCAACAATCTGGGCGCTGATCCTGGAGTGTCCTCACCCACGGCGGCTCCCCCT